GCTGCTTCCCCCCCCCCCGGAGTTCTCCGGAGTTCTCCGGTGTTCTCCGGTGTTCGGATGAGGATGATTGTTTCCATCGGGTCATGTGTGCAGACTGAGCACATTTTTCAAGTTTCAAGTTATTTCCTTCTTCTTATTATTCTTTTCCCCCCTTCCCCACACTAATACTATTCTTGAAATGATTCCATTTCTCACTTCCAGTAGTAGGAGTAGCACACAGGACCAGACGCACTCCGTCTCCAGCCCAACCGCAGTCTCAGTCACCACCAGCATCCCATCCAAGAACCACACCGGCACACGACTCCCAACCTCACTCAGCTCACTCAAGTCTCTGCTCGAACCATTCAACTCAACCCCACAGGAACATGAAGAACTCAACAATCAACAAAAAACTACTACTACTACTACCAACGAACAGCCAACCCCATCACCACTCAACAACCAGAACCACTCCCACTCCCACTCCCACTCCCACTCCACTCAACCACCCACCTCCGACGAAATCACCACCGAAGCACTCCAGACAGGCGGGCCAGATGCAAAACTCACTCAAGCAAACCCTCACCCCACTAGATATAGCCCAGCAGCTCGTCTACCCGGTACTAATCGAATCGGCATCGACCTCGGCCAACGTCCTGCTTCTCCTCAAATCGGAGTACGGAACGCATGGCAGTACCTACCCTTCCTGACAAAACAAGGTTTTTATTTTTATTTTTTTAAAAATTGATTCATTTAAATCCAATCATTGCGTGCACGGTATATCTTGATGCATTCTGACACTCGGAATCATGTCCATTCTTGTAGCCACCAACATCGCCAGCTCATTTCTATCTCATCACCTCAACGGGCCCCCCAAAAAGTCATGGGGGATCGAAATGACCATCTTCACCGCGATCGTGCGAGAGATGGCCAACTACACTCATCTCTCATCCATCCATCAACTGCGCACCATCATGGACTTTGGCCAGATCTTACCCACCCCAAAGGACGGCATCATCACCCCCGTCTCATTCAAAGTCAAACCTAACCATCTCACCGGATTCTTGAAAGAATTGGACCAGGCTGAAACGGGTAACAGAATCCTCACAGGCGAATGGGTCCTCAGTAAGAAAACTTGGAAGAGGATGCAAACCGAGAGTCTGGCTAGACGTGCTCACAATCCTGACTTCAACGACAATGGTGATGAGTTTGCTCACTCTGTCAAAATGTCACCCTCCCCAAGCCATCAACACGGTCTCGGTCAAGATAAGGTGATCTACTACATCCACGGTGGTGCTTATTTCATCATGAGCGCCTCCACTCATCGTCCACTCACCATCTCGATTGCTAAATACACAGAATGTCGTCTATTCGGTACGTATTATTATTATTAGTACTTGCAAGCTCTTGGCGCGCGACATTAATAATAGTAACTAACGCTGAGAGAGAAACCAATCATCACTTTTGCCTCGTTGAGCAGCTATCAATTACAGACTAGCTCCGGAGACTAAGTTCCCCGGCCCACTACACGATACAGTAGCAGGCTACTTCCGATTACTCAACGACCTCTGCATACCTGCCCAGAATATAGTCCTTTCAGGTGACAGTGCTGGCGGCGGTCTGGTGATGGCTTTATTGATGTATTTGAGAGATGAAGGGTATCCCTTGCCGTCAGCGGCAATGGTCTTCAGTCCCTGGTGCGATTTGACAATGAGCTGTGATAGCTGGGAAACCAACCAGGTCAGTAACTTGCTGGAAACCTATTTATTAGTCTTAACTTTTTGCCACTAAAAAAAAAACATGATAATTTTTGGTTGTATATTTTCGCAGCCATATGACTTCTTACCCATGCCTAAACCAGGTGAGGCATCAGATTTTCCGTTTTCGTGTATGGTAGAGGTCTCAAAACTTACAAGCATCCTGTTGATTGGTATCAGATGACCCGTTAAATCCGGTCAAGTGTTACTTGGGAGACGATGGAATCAAGAAATGGATTACTCATCCCTACGCCTCTCCGTTATTCGGTGACATGCACGGCCTACCACCACTCTTAATACAAGCTGGAGACGCCGAAGTCCTGCGAGATGAGATCACCCTGTTGGCTCACAAGGCCTCCCTACATGGGGTGAAAGTGATACACGAGATTTACGAAGACTGCGTGCATGTCTTCCAAGCGTTCTTGTTTTTGGAATCGAGTACCAAAGCCTTACAATCCATGCGAAACTACATTCGACACGTTCTGCCCAAGATGGAGCGACAGTCATCATCAGATCATCCCCTCAATCCTGCTGCTGCTGAAGACACCTACAGACCACCAACACGCGCCCCGAGCGACGATGACCAGTTTATCTACGCGATTGGCGATCCTAACCAAGGCGCCGTTGATCGGGAGATCTCCAGGGACGCCCACTTGGTCGATGACATGAGCCAGCCGATTAAGGAAACCCTACCACCCACCCCAGCGGTGCCAAACCTACTCGGATCAGCAGATGACGAAGTGTCCGATGGCGAAGAGGTATTATCAGGAGATGATGACTCTGATGGGGAAGATGAAGTTTTGGATGCATCCGCCACACCCGCCAGCCCGTCGGCAGTGCCTGAACAGGAACAGCCAACCGATTCACCCGCATCCCGCGTGGATAGTCGGCCCGACTCCTTATCGCTAGACATTGGTCGCTCGGCTTCTAGTGTCAGTTTATCCCGCTTATCAGAGAACCGGAAATCGGGTCTCTCCCTGCGAGGCCGTCTTCCCCCGGCGATGGACATCGAGACGATCCAGAACCTCATCATGCAAACGCCGCTCCAAGAGGTTCCACCGCCGGAGGCTGGCGGAGCTGGTGAATCCAGTGGCTATCGCTCGCCGACGAGTTTGAAGGAAGATCTCCGTCGACTCAGCGTTGGCACCTCGGCCTGCTCTTCTCCCAGACGGACTTCCTTACAGCCTGCACCCATGCTACCCATTCACTCCAACGCAAGCTCTCGGGTCTCGATCCACTCCCCCTCCGAGCAGGCTTCTTCGCCGGGGAGCCAACATCATCAACCTGCGCGGACCCCCGGGGGCCACCAGTCGGTCGGGCGGCCGACGCATTCACGCAAATACACGGCCTCCAATGTGGCCCTGCTCACCCCGATGGTCCGGACGCACCACGACCCCTCCGGGTCGGGCACGGTGAATGCGGACCTGCAAGCTATCTTCCACCAGCTGATCACGACGCCGTCGGAGCTGCGGACGACGGTGTACACGCAGGGGGATGACGAAGACGACGAGCAGGAGAAGGCCTCAGAGGCCAATGGCGAGTACTTCCGCCCCGCTAATAATCCGGGCCCCAGCCATCATCATCATCATCATCATCATCATCATCGCCACCAGCGGCTCCCTAGCTCCACCAACACCCTCACCCCCGGTCACCATGCCTCCTCCTCCTCCTCCTCCGTCAGCCCCAGCCGCCACAGCAGCCGCGCCAGTCCTGTCGACGATCCCAACACCCTCATCGACCAGAACCAACTCGTCGAAGACCCACCCCCGCCCTCTCCCGAATTCGCGTTCCAGACCCCCGGCTACGGCTTCTCGTAAATCTGTAAATACAATATC